TGTCCTGGTTCTGGCAGGGATGGGGTTAATCTCCCCAGGAGCCGGCAGGGGGCAGGTATTCCATACCATGTGACCCATGCCCGGGTTATAAGAGGAGCTAGCCGGGGGGGAGGAGAGGAGTTGCCACTCGGGGATGGGCTGTGGCTGTGCGGGTCTGGTTGGTGCGCTTCCCGACGGTACTGTAATCGCGTTTTCGTCTTTCCTTTTGCTGTTCTGTTAAATTGCACTCTTTTAACCCATGAGTTTTGCACTGTCGATTTCTTTTTCCACGACTGTGGGAGTTGTGCGAGCGGCTGTGTGGTTCTTTGTTGCTGGCTGAGGCCAAACCACGACAACGTGTTAAGTCAAACCTGCATTAGTGGAAAGAAATCTGCTCTAAAAGATACTGGGACAAAGGCTTGTTACTATTAGTATTTAGCCACTTCCCAGCCATCAAGCACAAAGTATAGAACTGCTTTCTTTTATGTTTTAGTTTGGTGAATAATAGGCAATAATAGATTAGGCATGAAACTTTCTCTTGCGGTGATGTCTGGTGACAGATTGACATCAGCTCTTTGCACTGCCTGTCTTTCTTTTCACTTGCAGCTCTGCTAATTCCAAGATTCAACCTCAAAAGCAGAATCCTATCTGCACATTCTGTTCTTTCAGACAGACCTTGCACTCTGTCAGGTCTGCAGACAGATCTATTTTTACTGTCTTCATATTTCAGTCTTCCAGGAGGCACACACAGGCAGTTGGTACTGATGATGAATTGGATGCTATTTAGTTTTTTGCCTTTTTGTCAGTTTTGAAATCCCTCTGTATTTTCATTCTACAGAGAGGGCAGAGACGTACCAACATCTGAAACTGCACCATCTGTTGCTGCAATTAGGTTTAACTTAATGCTTGGTTTTATTTTGATAGCCAGGCCACATGGTTTGGAGACCAAATACCTGCCAAGCTAGCCATCCTCCTGGTCTGCTCTCGCACCTTTACAACTAGCAGCTTAGCCAATTCAGCCTCCGTATCTGTTTCAGGATCTTGTTTAGAAATCCTCTCCCTCATCTTATTTATTCAAAAAGCCACAAACTAGTTGAAGAAATCAAAATCTAAAAAAAAAATAAAATTCAGTTAGGACTCTATGGAGACCCTTTTTGATCAAGCATTTTAACATCTGACCTCTTACCACTGTGTTTTACAGTAAGGAACAGGTAAGTTAGAAAGCATTTTCTCCTGTAAACTGGTGGAATTCATATGCGTGCCACAGTCAAGTTTACACAGTGAAATGTGTCGATTACAGCTGCCTAGAGATGTATATGTGAAAACAAACATTTTCAAGGATGTTTGTTCTGAATACTTCTTTAAGCACCCAAATGTACATCATTAAAGCTATCTTTGCATCACATGTCAGGTAAAGGAGAGGTAGAATTAGTGGCACTAAAATCTCCTTGAGTTTCTCCCTGCCACTGGAGAAATCCCACCTTGTACTCCCAGGTAGGATTTGTAGAGAAGGTCCTGTTGGGTAGACACTGGAGAACAACCAGGCAGCAGATGTCAAAGCTAATACAATAAAGACCACCCAAAGAGCAATTTGTTCTCAAGGACCTAGTACTACTACCACCTCTAATTTCTCATGCCAAATTGCTTGGACAGCTAATGTTAGTAGACAGAGATTTCCCCATGGCTTACATTACTGTATAGTGCAAAGACTGCTGAACACTGGGTGGCAAACAGAGTACTGTACCACTTTGAAGCAGGAGATCTGGAGCTGAAGCTACAAAATACAAAATGCATTAGTGCAATACATTAGGAAAGATTAACTCCTTAACCAAAGGATAGAAAAAATATAGAGCATTCTTAGGTTTAGAAAAAAAAGTTTTAAATTTTATGCAGTTCTCATTGAGGTTTAAATCGGCGTTACACTTTTTTTCCCAAGTTTGTACCCCTGAGTCAAATATTGAATAAACATTGTGCAGTAGGTACAGAAACTAGCGTTTAGTTAAAAAGCAACAGATTTGAATGGCCATTGCTTCATAAGTGTTACACAGTAACAAAAAAAAAAGGAAAAAAAAAAAAGTAGCACTGATTTCTTCTTAGTTTATGACGAGATAAAAGATCTCGAAGAGTTTCCAACCACATCATTTCCATGTGTCAGGCTGAGGTTTGTGACAAATGGAACCTTCAGTGAGTAAACCTGTTGGGGCTGCATCATTTGAGTATGCACAGTTGAGAACAACTACAACAAAGCAAAGCAATCTTTCCAAGTTATAAGTTGTATGAGACCATATTAACCTTGCAGCACTATGTGAAGCTAGGCAGAGTTCTTTGACTATGATTATCAGGAGCTCTAAACTCAATACCCCTTATATCCAATATATTTTACCAGAGTAATAACTAAATTGCTATAAATTTGGCCTCTTGGCCTCTATTAAAATGGAACTTTATCACTTTCACTAACTTAAACATGGTAACATTCAGCTCACTAGAACCTCTGCTGATTGTCTCCAAGAATAATTCATGCCTTTTCCACTTTTCTTCCTCCTTCCTTTACAACATCAAGAATAAGAGCTGATTTAGAAGGCAGGTTCAGGTGCAACGAGGACTCACTGTTAATCATTTGTTTTGTGTTGACACGGAAGCTCGGACAAATACACAACGACCAATATGATCAAGGTAAATGCCACTTTATTGCACAGATAGCTCAGCTATTATAGACAGTTCTCTCCCGCGCCACGCAACACTCAAGCAGCAATTGGTTACATGCATAGTTCACGTGAGCATCCTTACTATATGATTGGCTAGCTCTAGCTGTTCACGGGCACAGTTATCTTCTTTTATGTTTTGCTCAAAGTCCTGCTTATTGGTACATTCAGCAACAGTTATTTCCTCCCTCTACATAACTCAGCTGTTCACAAAACACCATTCGACCTTCAACATTCCTTGAAGCTTACACTGTTGTCAACAAGTCCTCAGTGCTTGGGGTGCTCACAGGGTGACCGTTGATCTCTAAAAATTCTCCCACAGTTTTGTTCTGAAAAAAAGTGTGTAAAGGACCACCCTATGTTACTGGGTTTGGGAGAGTCTTCATCATTTTTTTGGGGAAGCAGAAACTGTCGGGAATTAATGGAGCATGGGCTCCCAATAGATGCATTTTCATTGTTGCTTTCAACTGATCTGGAGTGTCCACGTTCCAGGCATTTGTGTTTGCTTGAGGTCTGTAACCTGCAGTTTTATCCAATTCTTCCTCTGCAGGTGAGCGACTCTCTCTTTTCAGAGCACTGATAGGCAGCTGCATTTATGGCTTATAGCCTGCTATAGTCACTAAGTCTATTTCTGGCTCCTCCTCTGGTTTAATTTGAGGTTGATACATTGACTGGATGTCTATGTAAACCACCTGAGATGACCCCACAGGTTCATCCATAGAGGGATTTGAGATCTCCTCTTCAATGATAGGGGGGCAGTAGGACACAACCACATGGTTCTCTATTTCTGAGTCAGAGACATCTTCAGGCACTGCCGGGGACATCATTTCTGTGTGTTCAATTTTGGGAGCTGCGGACCATGTTTCCACCACTTCAACACTATTGGGGGTACAGGGGTTCATTTCCAGTGTTTTAAGTGTCTTATTCCCCTGAAGTGAGAAAAAGGAGAAGGGGGAAGCCAAAAGACCTGGAAATCCTGAAAGCAACAACTTGGCCAAATTAAATCAGTATGTTGGCTTGTGGATTGCATTCACCCCACTACCATAAGTACAATATTAAAAAAGCATTTTGATTCTAATTTTCTGGCTCATCACATATTCCTGTTAACATTAAAAGTATTTCAGCCAACTTAGACTCCAGATCTTGCAGTAAGTGTTTGAGAACTTATCCCCCAAATCTCGGCTTTGTATAACCCATTCCAGAAGGTTATTTAAATGTTACGCTAAGTTCCAGCTACTATGTCTACCAGAAGGTAGGGACATGGCATGTATGCTTCTCCACACTTTCTACTTCTCCTAACACTATGACAAAGATGGGTACATTACTACCACATTGTTATCATGTACTAAGACTTCCCATTAGTGTGGGAGGAGAGAAATGCAGCAGTCCTTTCCTAGTTCAAACTTTGCAAGTAACTACATTAACAACATGACAGTTCTAGATAGCACCTGACAGAAGTTACTCAGTAGCTTGTCTTGTTTCCCCCTGCCACAGAGGTTTGGGTTTTTTTGGTTTTGGGGTTTTTCGGGTTTTATGTTGTTGTTTGGTTTTGGGGTTTGGTTTTGGTTGTTTTTTTTTTATTTATTTTGTTTTACAACTGGAGCAGAAGACTCAAAGTTTACAGAAGACTTCTTTACTCACAATACCTTTTAGAATTTTAAAAGACTAGATTTAAAATGAGGGTTACCTCACAGATGTTCTTCTGAAAATGCAGTGCCTTACTGTTCTCAAGATTCGGGATCTCTGGATAAAATGTTTCTTTTATCCTTTAAAGAGGAAAGAAAAAACTTTTAAAAGTTACCAAGCCCTGAAACAGATTGCCAATACACTAAAGAAGTCAGGACATTGCCCTTTAGTTCAGAATACTGAAGACATCTGGCATAAAGATTTTAGTGTGTAACACTTTCACTAAGTATTAAATAGAAAGAACAGCAAACCCAATTTTTATTTTTAAACTGGGGAACTTGATATGCCATGTTTATGAGAGGTTGAAGATGGGATGTCTACCTGAGTGTTTGTGGATGGCTCACAAATATAATATAATGTTGCCAGCTTATTTCTATTTGGGAACTATTTCTAAATGGTTCTCACTGGGAGACAGACTCCTCCAAAACCTTTTTGCATAAGATCATCAGGTCCAACCATCAACCTAACACTGCCAAAACCCACCACTAAACCATGTCCCTAAGCACCACATCTACATGTCTTTTAAATACCTCCAGGGATGGTGACAACCACTTCCCTGGGCAGCCTGTTCCAATGCTTGACAACCCTTTATCGGTGAAGAAATTTTTACTAATATACAATCTAAACCTACCCTGGCGCAACTTGAGGCCATTTCCTCTTGTCCTATCACTTGTTAATTGGGAGAAGAGACTGACCCCCACCTCTCTACAACCTCCTTTCAGGTAGTTGTAGAGAGCAACTTGTAAAAGCCCACTGAAATTTTTAGGTACTTGGAAAAAAACAAAGAATAACTAAAACCATAGAAAACTCTAGCACTGAAGCAAACATATTCAGGAAAAGATCAGAACTGAATGCATTTACCATTCCCTCTTTCGGTAGCAAAAGATGCTGGCCACCACTCCATACAGCACAACCACTGCCACGGGGATGAGAATTGCAATGATTAATCCTACAGCTGGGGGATGAAAAAAGAAAGGACAGTAAATATATATCCAAAGTTACCAGCAAGTTTTATGCCTTTTCTAACATTCCCACAGATTAGAGACTGTTTCATTAAACTCATCTAACAGTGGTCTGCAAACAGTGACCTATACCATACACTTCCCCTTTGCTGGAAGGGCAAAAGTCCATCCATAAACAAAGCTGATTCAGTGATAACTACAGAAATTTCTTCTCTCTGATTGCTTGATTGTGAAAGGCTTCATGTGCAACACAAAACTGATTGCTGCTGCAATTTCTGTTCTCAGTAAGCACTGGAATTACACTTTCAGGTTACTTGAACTGGCCAAATCTCTGGTAATGGCTCTTATAGGCCAACAACTCATTGCACAAACTGTACTGCCTTTTATATAGTTTACAATGCTTCTAATCCCCAGGGTTTAGCTCCGATACATTCCCACTGCCTTCCTCCATTGATGTTAAGTGTCTCAAGTTTAATTTTTTGTGTATTTTAGTTGCACCCCAGTGTTTAGTCTTTCTTCCACATTAAATACTCTTTTTTTTTCCCCCCTCATTCCTCAAAGTCAATCTCTTTTTTTTTTTTTTAACTGTCTTTCTGTGTTTGTTTCTGTCAGGGGATCGGTAAAACTGAATTCAAAGCAGAGTCATCTGTTTATAATTCTGAAACTAGTAAATATTTACACAATGTCTTTCTTCCCACCATGTATTAGCAGATATTCATCATGGGAAACTTGACAAAAACAACTAGCTGCTTGAGAAGACTAAGTTCAGACTCCACCATATTTATTAGTAGTTTAGAAGTTATTTTTCTTGCATACATTACCATGAACTATAAGGTAGCTGTAACAGGAAAGGATCTTTTCCTCACCCTGAGCTGTACCAATTTTTGCATTTAAAAATAATCAACTAAATAAATTAAAAATTAGACTGTAGGCCCAAACTACCTAAAGGTGTTAGCGCAGAGACAAACACATAACCACGTATCCAGGTTATATGCGGTGCTTTATTTCGAGGCGCCGGGAACCAGGGGTACGCACCCAAATCTGGCTCCAAAGACTGCCTCGCCAGGTATGCATTTTATATTCTCTTGGTTGCACAATTTCATACGTATTCAGTAAGTATTTCTTCATTATCTAATACATATGCATCACTAATTACTTCATCCTATTGCGACATCAGTCTCTCTTATTGCGCGTGCTCGTCTTCCCTCTAGTGGTCGTCGGTGGTCTTCCCGATGAAGTAAGAAGTCTTCCTCGGATGAAGTAAGACGTCTTCCTCACCTTGTCCTTCTTCACCTTATCCTTTTGACTCAATTCCAGCGCCTGTTTTCCATCCAAGTTCTTCGATGTTCTGTTTGGTTTCTCTACTGTACCGCACTGTGCCGCCCACCTGTTTTTTAGACAATTGGAACTCCAAAACGCATTCTCTTCCACCACCATTAGCCACCATGGATCACTAAGAAACTACAAAGCATATTCTTTCCCATCACCGTTAATCAGGTCCAGTCATCAAGACCTCGATCTGCAAATCTTGCAAGCACTCCCTGCTAATACGATTTGTTATTTAACTGTTCTCTAACATTTCTATATGATTTTGCTACTTAACTCTTATATTCCCTAACATTTCCCCCCTTTGAAAATGCTTCAAATTTATCTACAAGTATTTTCACCTAAATTCCATCCGTCTCTCTGTATGATGGTGGGGGTGTTATTTCTTTGAGATGTAGATCATTGGAATATTCTCGAGCCACCGCTCCTACTAGTCGGTGGGTCCAGGCTTTATTTCTTCCTATTTCTGCTTTTATACAACGGAACATTAAGTACAAGATAAGAAATACTACAATTACTACAATCACTGTTTGTAGCAGTGAATAAACCCAGCTAGAGAGATGGAGGCCTAAACTATTAAACAATGTTCCAACCCAATTTTGTGCGATTTCTTCCCTCTCTCGTTCGGCCTCATGTTCTATTTTAGTTAATTGGGAAATGTCATTTTCAACTTCTGCTGTTACATTGGGAATGTATACACAACAATGATCAATTCTGTCTTTTAGGTAACCACATACTCCATGTTCCTTAAGCAGTAACATGTCCAATGCCATTCTGTTCTGCAAAGTCATTTTAGTAGTTGCTTGCAATTGCATATTTAAATCTTTAATCCCCTTTTTCGTTGCTTTAGCTAGTCTTTCAGTTTGGCCAATCAAGTTATAAATCATTTCTTTGTTACGATATGTAGCAATCGGAGCAAACATTGATTCTAGAGCCCAGCTTATCCTAACTCCTGTCGAAGGTTCTTGCCAGGTATCCTCTTCTGTCACTTCCCTCTTTGTTCTGATTAGAAGGGATTCTAAATTTCCTTTAAAAGGAGATTTAAAAGGGTAGGTATTCCCAGTGTAATTTCTTTGACTCCTCCATCAATAGGTAAATGAGTGGTCCATAATCCATCGCTAGCAGCCCACACTAGATTTCCCATACTATGCACTGTTGAGTACCTACAGTCCATCCCCCGAGCTGGAACCGGAATCACCTGTCCGTTCACTTTCAGTCCTCGACACGCACAACCTGCTTTTAGGGCAACTCTCACCGGCAATATCGTGATTTCTTCTGGATCAGTATCACAATCAAAGATTTTAGTGCAGCTCCACCATGACACATTTTTAGTAATATTGAGACTGACTCTATTCTGTGCTAGTTCTTCTGGGAACATCCCAATACTTTGCGTACCTCTCCATCGGAAACACCAGGAAGCGTTACCACCATATTGAAATTTTTGGAGGATACTCATTGACCAGACTGAATCCCAATTTTGTTTGGTTAGATTTTCTTTCTGACATTCCCATTCCATTATTTGTTTTGGTACCAACACTTCACTAACTTCATCATAAGAGCACCATCCTACCCCTTTAAATTGTCCTATCTTGATGAATTGGTAATTCAGGAGTTTCTCACAATCACTTCTACTTCCTGGACTTTTCCAATTTTTCCTAGTATATTTCTTATGTTTTTCTTCAACTGTTTTAGTGATCATTTTACAAACTGCTTGTTTATCTTTCTTTTTTGGGTATGGGAGGGTAATTATTCCCCAACTGATTGGTTCTCCTGCGGTTTTTGGGATTGGCAAACATGCTGTTATTTGGCTAGTGTTTTGCATCTTTGCAAAGTCTCTTATCAAGCCAATCATCAGATTCTCTTCTGGATTCAAATGTACTACTCTAATCATTTGGGTTGGTTTTATTTCTCTTTTGGTTCTCCTTTTCATTACTTTAATTTCATTAAAACCCATAGCTGTTCTATTCCTATACTCACACTGGTGGACCCCTAAGCCATCCTCCTGAACGTCTTTAATCAAATTTGTCAGCGTTTCTCCCATATGGACCTCTGCTTGGTGTCTATTATCTTTTGAGGACGGAGAAACATCTTTGGTCCATCCATAGTAGGGTGGCCGTGGGTCCTATAAAAAGCAGTAGATTGAAAAGTCTGATTCTAAGGTCACAGGGTGCTCCTTATGTCCTACCTTTATTCCATGATCCCTTGGAAGGTTAGTGGCCAATGTTTGTCTCCCATGTTCGGCGCTTCCATTGTTACTGACTACACATAAATAAATCCCCTGGCCTACTTTTGTCACATTAGGTAACTGGAGCTTTGTTTCTCCTGTATATCCGTACTTATCAAGCTCCTTTTGAATTTGCCTTCTCAATTCCAATTTAACTTTTGATTGGTTTTGGTCAATTCGTTCCCAGATCACTTTCCTGGATTCGCAGATCAGAATAGCATCTTGTCTTAGAAACCGGTCCGTACTCTGAACTTTCACTGTAACCTCTAAAACCAAAAGTACACACAACGTTAAGAGTGACCAGATGACAATCCAGATTCCATACTTAAATCCTGACATTTTAAGTACTTTCCTGTGTATATTTCAATCTGAGTTTTGTTGGACTAATGAATTGAGACTTCCAGACTCCTGGAACCTTCTTTACCTGTGTGTAGTGAATCCACGAGTCTACTCCTTCTACCTTGACAGCTGTGAAGGTAGTCAACAGTACTTGATATGGTCCATCCCACCGCTCCTTCAGTGGCTCTTCATTCAAGTTCCGGACATACACCCGGTCACCGGGTTGAATGTCGTGCACCGGATTCTCCAGGGGTAAAGGTCTATTCCATATCAGAGTGTTCCGCAGCTGCATTAAAATCTTTCCAAGAGATAAGACATAATTATAAATATCCTGACTCCCTTTAAGGTGAACATTTTGGTTTGGACTTGGGGCCTCATATGGTTTACCATAAAGAATTTCGTATGGACTTACAGACATTCCACTTCTGGGTTTAATTCGAATTCGTAATAAAGCAATGGGTAAAGCCTGGGGCCATTGTATTTTTGCTTCTTGACAGATTTTGCTTATTTGTCTCTTTAATGTTTGATTCATCTTTTCTACTTGCCCACTAGATTGTGGTCTCCAAGGGGTGTGTAAGTCCCACGCAATCCCCAAAAGTTTACTTACATCCTGAACTATGGCCGCAATAAAATGGGGTCCTCGATCTGACGATATTCCTAAAGGGACCCCAAATCTTGGAATGATTTCTTTTAGTAAATATTTCACAACTTCCTTTGCTTGATTTGTGCGACAGGGAAAGGCTTCTGGCCATCCAGAAAAGGTATCAACCCCAACTAACAAATACTTGTACCCTTGGGCTTTGGGTAATTCTGCGAAATCAATTTGCCAATAATCTCCAGGTTCCATCCCTACCCTAATTCTTCCCATCTGAACTGATTTTTTAATTACTGGATTATTTTTCAAACAAACCTCACATTTTGACCCTATTGCTTTTGCCATTGTTAACATCTGTGTAGAAATTATACCTCGTTTTAGATAAGTAACCAATGCTTCTTCACCCCAATGACATTTTTGATGCTCAGTTTGCAGGATTTGTCGCATTACAGCAGGAGGTATTATCACCTGTCCAGTGGCAGTAACGTACCAGCCTTGCACATTTTTAC